CCCTGTCGTCCAAATCGCTGATGGAGAAATTGAACAGCGCCCATCCCATCGAGCATGTCTCTTGTTGTGATATGCCGGTCATTGTCGAGGAAGCCAAGCCTGCCTCGAGACACCATTCCCGAAGCCACCAGTTAGTCTCCACGATGCGTGTTGCATGCCGTCTTCCACGTCTGCTCAGTGGTAGGATAGAAGAGAAAACCACCTGTGCGCCTATGTCCTTTAGCACGCACCCCAGAGCATGGTAGTCTGCCATCAGGCAATCAGGGCTTCTGGCTGCATCATTAGTACCCACATGGATTAGGACCGTGGGGTAGTAATCGGTGGGCTGGATCATGGCCTGGATCATCCCCGTCACGTCATGAATCTTTGCTCCAGGTAGGTAGTAGACCTCGTGTGTTGAGGGGCCCTGGCGACAGATGGGGCCCTCTGTACCTCTCAGGATGGAGTCGCCTATGACGATCACTTGTTGCTTTCTCCTCTGGGATTGCTTAGCTCCTTCGGCCTGTTCAGAGCGCGGAGAGTGTGGAGTTGCCTCCTCTCCGGTTGCCTCCTCTCCCTCTTTCTCCTCCAGTGTTGCCAGGGCCTCATAGCTATTCTCCAGCTGGACTGGAGGAACTGGTACTGCTGTGTTATGAGCAGCCCTGGTTCTGGTGGTGACCATCTGCCACTCTGCAGTGGAGGGCACTTCCCGAGGTGCTTCTTCCTTGGGTGTGTGGCCCTGCAGGGAAAGGAAATAGCCATCAATTTCTTCCTCCACCTCCCTGATTCCCCTCAGCCTGCTAACCTCTTCCTGGAGCTCCCTCACCTGCACCTCCAGGGCCCTAAGGTGGGCGCCTACAGGACAGGTGTTGGGGTCCCAAATCCCTGCCCACCCAGGCCTTGCTGGGCAACCCCTGCAGGCCAGGGGTGGGGGGATGCCAGCTCCTCCATGGGCTATGTCTGGGTGGAGGCCTCAGACAAGCCCCGGGTAGGCTGCTCCCCCTGGGCAGGGGCCCTGGCAGCACTCCGCATCAACACCATCATAGGAGTTGCTGCTTGTTTTTAGTTTAGTGCAGTGCCTTAGTCCTGCCGTAGTAGGAGTCTCTCTCCTGGCCTTTCCTGCTCGCCCGCCGGCGCAAACACCAGCGCGCTCTGTTCATGTGGCGCGGCTAGGGAGTGCGGCTCCCTACCGGCTCAGCTAAGAGGCATCCAGGGGGCTTCTCCTCCGGATCCGGCTCAGCTGCGTCCGGTCCCTCTGCCCACCTACCTTAAGGGGATCAGCTGCTGCTCCCCCCACTGCTGGCTCTGCTGCTGCTGCATCTGCCTCCGCCTCGGGTATGGTAAGTGGGTGCACGTGCATGCGGGTTACGCGTGTGCCTGGATCCCTCCTCTCCTCGGTGCTCCTGGCTCCCAAGTTCCTAGTTCTCCCTTGAAAATATAAGCGTGTTTTTGCAGCAGTGTAATTAAACTTGTTTTACGTTTTGCTCTCATGAATTTCTGAGCAATTGACATGTCTCTCCATGCTGTTCAATCCAGCAGGGATAGTTACTTTCACACAAAATGATGGCAGTTTAGCTGTTTGACCTTATTAGTTTGTATTACTGTGATGTTACTATTTCTACAAAAGATACGTTTTAACGAAGAGTCTCTTCTTTTACTTGGCCTCTGATCTGTTCCTAACAGTGAAATGCTTCTCTTTACCTGGGAGGCTGTGGAAAAATGGCACTTCCCAAGTTAGATGAGTTACACCTGGCAGGTCTTCTCACAGCAAGTGAACGGGTTCAGATTACTGTACCTTGATTTCCATGTAAACTGCCTAATCTTTCTGTGTTCTTTCCCCCCACTTTTCCCCATCGTTGAAATAATAGTTATTTTTGCAGTTTAGACTTTCAAACGTGCAGGCTGTAAGCCAGCCAGAAAACTCTTTAGTGTTTCTGCCAAGAATGTAGACTTAAGGGACTAGATTTTCTAGTCCAAAGTCACTTTGTAAGTGGTTCCAAATAATCTTTTATAGTGTATGAGCAACAGAGAATCTCTCAGTGCAGTAGAATTCTTCACTGACAGAAAGCTAAAACAGGAGGGTCTTTCACCTGCACTGGTTTTATTCCCAGGAACCCCCTGGTATATTGGGAAGGAGAAGCAAGCATTGTGAAAAGGGGGCAGCCTTTTGCAGAGAAGAGTAACATGGTGGAATTATGCTTGTAATCTCCCAAAGTGAAAGGTTTTTATGACTGTGGTAAATCAGCTGCTCCCCTGATTTTTAACGTAGACCATGGCTTTTTAGTTAAGGGTACAAAAGAAGCAGTGGGTTCCATGTGCAACTCTAGGGCTTTTGTCTCTGTTCTGTATTAGTGGAGGATTCAGCCAAACAGGACTGCTGTTATCCCACATTTAAAATAAAGAAATGTAGTGTGTTTCCTACAATTTGATGGAGCTTATACTGGAAGGTCATAAAACGTGATTCCTTACTTATCAGGTGTTTGTGGAATCTAATGTTCTGGATATAATTAATCAAAATTTCTAATGGAGAGTTTTTGTAAAGAAGTGAAGAACCTGAAAAAAATATGCAAAACATACTATGAGGCTACCACAAATAATGAAATGTCATGTCTTAACCAGTATTTATCAAAGCTGCTTTTATGAAAAGTTAAGACTTCTGTGTCTGAAGAATTTGAACGACTAATTACTTGATTTTGAAGTTTTTTGAAAAATCATATATGTGAATGCCTGGGTATTACAGATATCTTTGATTTTTTTTTCTCTCTTTTTAATTAATTACATCTTGGTAACAGTTCAGTCTGGAAAAATAAATCAGTGCTTTAGAAGTAATATGGTTTACAATGGCATATGAAGAAAATGAAATAAAATACTACAAATGAATGTAGTTGTTTTATAAGACTGCTTGAAATATACTTGGCAATCTGTGAATTATCATCTTCCCATCTTTCGTATATTTGTGTTTACTGACAAAGTAGGACAAAAGTACAATTTAATAATTGAACTGATTGTTTCTCTATCATTTTCCCCCTCCACCACACCCTTCTCCTTTAGACTTAAAGGCCTGATAAACAAGGCTCCTGTGATGCTATTTATGAAAGGCAACAAACAGGTAAGGATCTCAAAAGTGGTTTTATTGTAATTTCTTTATCTGGTCATATCTGTAACAAGGGAATAGTTAAACCTCTTTTTTTGGCTAATGAAATTTTAGCTATGTGTATCTTAATTGGTGCTTCTGTAAACCCTACAAAGCAATCCATATTTTACCTGAATACTGTCAGTACGTCAGCAGGGCACTATGACATTCTGAAACCATTGTGACAGTAAAACTTTTGGTTATGTCCATTGGCTCAATCCATATTCATAGTCCTCAGCCAATTCTGCTGGTCTTTGGTTACAGTTACTGGTAGTCTCATCAGTCTCACTTCTCTTACTGCTCTCCCTCCTCCTTTCATTGCTGCTTTATTTAGATTTCCACACTTGAGGCCTGCCCTTTGCTTATTATCCCACGTGTTGATCTTAGGCACATCTTGTGGCATCTCCCTTTGTGGACTATTCATTTTAATTTGTTTCTGTCTTCATTAAGCATATGTTCAGAACAGCTTAAAAAAAATCTGCAGGATGTTTTTAAGACTAAAATATAGCACCACGTACCGTAAAATGATCCACTGTTTTCTTTTCCCATGTGTAGGATGTACTACACCTGGTGTCTCTTTAAGCTTCAATTAATTATCCTACAGACCAGAATAAGTATGATGATCTAAAAAAGACAACTGCTAACAATTAGGATTAAAATGACAGCAAATGTCTGTAAATCAAAAGGTCGCCTTGTTTCTCAATGTGTTGCATATACAAACAAGCTGGCCAAGGGATAAATTGTACTCTTTGAGAGCAAGCAGTGAGACAGGTGCAGCAGTGTGGGTGAAAACTGCTTCAAGTGCACTTAAATCAATTTTCATTGGGATGATTGATTCTAGGCAATGAGCCCCCTCTGTTCTGTAATCTGAGTATGAGAGATGTTTGTTCAATATTTTTAGAGAGGAGGGGAAATAGGTGCTCTTCTCTCATTTTATTTTACTGTGCTCCCTGACTCTTCTTTGTATATTAATTGCATTATAAGCAGCATATTAAAGGCTCTTTTGCTGATTTTGCCATGATGGTGTTCGAGTCCTGGAGGAAGATATTGACTCTGTGGCAGGGGTGATTTAGCTAGTTCCAGGAATATCATATAGTGGGTGGGATTACATCTGTTAGTTGAAAGTAGCTACGTCCTCCCTCAAAGAAATGGCTAGATTAACAGTCAATTTTGGGGGGAGTGCTTAGCATAAGATTCATAAAGTTGGAGGGTTTTTGTTTGTTACCAGTAGTAAAATCCCCAAGAAGAGGGTATAGTCTGGATAAAACATTTTATGTATCGATTTTAGTCGGATCAGGCTGGATAGTTTACATGCTTCTACTTGCCATATGTTCTAGTAAAGGTTAAATTGGGTAGTTACATCTACATCCTCCAAATATAACGGCAGGTTTCTAGAAGAATTTATCCGGTCAGCTCAGGAAGTTACTACCTGTCTGACAAAATAGTCTAAGGGGGGTGGGAGGAATTATTTTGTATTTAGGAATAAAGCTTCTGATACATGGAGCCAAAACCAGTATGTTTTAATTGGGCTTCTTCATAGCTTGGGCTTTTTTTGCATACTTGAATAATACCCTGCACCCTAGCTGTAGCCAGTTTCCAACAACAGTATGGATGGCTGTGGAAATATGTTTCCCGTGGAATCCATCTAAGTGCCAGAACTGAAGAAATGGAAAATGTGATTTTTTTTTTTCCAGTGTTTTATACACTTTTCAGATGTGAGTGAAAAATTGTGTAGTGAAACTAAACCTGGGCCTGAAAATGGAAGTTTACTACTTAGCTGCCAAAAAGTGGAAGAGAAAGTATAGCACAGAGATTATGGGACATCAAGAACGAAGGTGGTTTGTAAGCAGTAAAAACGATTCCTAATTGGATTATGGGGGTGAGAATTGCCAAATTTGTTGTGTTAAGATTTTTTCATTTGGAAATCCACAAAAATAGTGGCTTAATTAGTATATTTTCCCTCTTATTTTTAGGCGGCAAAATGTGGATTCAGCAAGCAAATTATAGAAATCCTAAATGGCACTGGGTATGTAGGCTACAGTTAAATCACCTTTTTTAAAATTTTAATTTAAACTTTTACGAATAGACTTACAAAAAGTTGGGAAAGACTGCTTCATAGGGGAGAATGGCTTGTCTCTACCAAAAAAGAGCATTTAATAGGTCTAAAAATAGAAGATTTTACCCTAAGAGAAAGGGGGTGGAGTTTGGTGTGGTATCCACATATTATTAGCATAATATTAACATTTTATGATGATTTCTAGAATAAACCACTAAACCAACTGAAAGGTCAATTTTCTGATCATATTAGTAAAATAATACTTTTTATTATTACTGGGCATATTACATCCTTGTTCTCTCTTAAGGCACCACAGTATTGAGAGCAATTGCTAATTACTTCAAATCCATAATCATCCCTGGCTGTTTAGGGCCATAACCACTATTTGGAAGGAAAAACAGCCAACCTTTGATAATTCCAATTGTAATAGAATTTTATATTCCTCCTTAAATATTTTTAGCTACTAAATTAAATTTATGGTGTATATTACTTTGAAATTGAAATCATGAAAATAACTAATTGGTGTTTTTCTGCTCCGATTAACACCAAGCACTATGAATTTTTTCCTCTTCTGATTCTCCTGTTTTTCCTCTGTTTATCAACCGTAGAAATCCTTTCACTCTGATTAGCAGCTCTCTTAAAACTCCCTTTTGGCCCACAAAATATATGCTGACCTGAACATCTGATCTTCTTGTCATAGGTAACCTCTGATTTTTACATCTTTCCCTGCAGTTCTTTGTCCAGTGCGGATGGTTTATAGTACCGGGGGTTCATCCCCACAGTAATCCTAGTTCAAAAGGAAACTTCATTTAAAATCTCCTTCTAGAACAGATGCTGCATGGTGTGTGTTTAGAGGGGAGTACAATCAAGACAACTCTGCTTGGAGACCTGTGAACTAGCTCTGAGAACTGTTATCAAAATGGAGAGATTTATATAATCAAAGCATAATTAAGAAATAGGCAGTTATTTATAAATCCTTGTCCTGTATAAGGGCTCCAAAGCCAGAATTCAAGAACTTGCGTACTGGTTTGTTATTAAGAAATAGTTTTATTCAGAGTACAAAAGATTTATGTATTAAAAATAATCTGGATCAGTAATCTTGCCTGAGACTGTTTCATGCCTTCTTGGTGACAATGCTAAATGACCATGAAAAAAATAAAGAGCCTTTTATTTCTACAAGAATTATTATTAGTCTTCAAAACATTATCTTTTCTTAGACTCTGTGGCTAGGGGCAGAAATTACAGGCAAACCAGTCTGTACTACAGACCAGTATAAGTGATTGGAAACCGGTTCAAATCAATAACACAACAGAAGTTCAGTGCATATAAATTGCTTTCAAAATGGCCAAAAACCGGTTTAAGATAGACTTGGATGAATGTAGTATCAGACTTAGGATTTATGTTAAATTGATTTATTGAACTTCTGTCTCATCCCCTCCACATTCAAGTTAACTCACAGTCCCTCGGCATCCCAGGATGCTTTGCATCTCCCCTGCAAGCCCTACCTCCCTCCGCAAGGTGGGTGGACTAGCCTTGCCCCAAGCTGTCTGCTCCAGTAGGGCAGGTAGGTGTGCTCCATTGCCCCCTGGCTTCTGGCCTTAGCTACTGCAGGCATGTATAACTGCATTTCTGGAATCAAAAGTGAATGTTTGTTTATTCATTTAATCTACACAGGTTTAATTTACACAGGTTAGACTAATGTGTGAAGATTGAATTGATTCAGCTTTGGGCTTTTTGACTGTCTGTACTTAGCCCAAATTAGTAAATGGTAGATGTTGGATACTTGCTTTGTTATACCCGAAGTGTCTAGCTGGAACTTATACTGAAGTTATTCAGGGTCTTTTGTGCAGCTTGTCACTTTATCTGCTCAGTAGCCTTTCCACTAAATTGGGTGTTGTGTTGGTCACAGTAACTCTTGCTTTTCAGATGTATAGTTATATTATGCTAACGTATGCATTATCCTTTAAAATAATTAGCATTTTTCTTAAAATTACTAGGTAATGTTTTGGTGTCATTCACCTTACGTTTAACTGGCTGGGTTGTTTTACATTCTTTTTCTTACTGACTATAAATAAAAATCCTCTCTGATCATCAGGGAGTTAGCAAGTTATGTGAAAACAAATAAGTTGGTTACTTCTTTGACAGTCTTATGTAGGAAAAATTGCATAAATCATTCTGCTTTTTCTTTGTAGTGTTGATTTTGAGACATTTGACATACTGGAAGATGAAGAGGTAAATGTGAGGGTTTTTTTCCTTCCTACATTGTTCATTATTTCTGTTACACTAGTAAAGTTGTAATGAAGAGGCTTAAAGTTAAGATTGTTTTCCTTAGGTACGGCAAGAATTAAAAACCTACTCAAAGTGGCCAACATATCCTCAACTGTATGTGAAAGGTGAACTTGTTGGAGGGTTGGATATTGTTAAGGTAAGGGAGAAAAAATGCTGTTTAACATGCAAATCAACTGTTATAGTCTGAGAGAAAATATTTTTATAACTAAAATATACATAAACACCCATGTAATGGCCCTAGATTTTGAAATAGAATGACTTGGTTGGTTTTACTATGACTTTCATTATTTCAGCGTATGGTTGAAAGGAGCTTTAAATCTCTAGCACTCACACAGACTCTGATGTAGCAGTGAAATGTATTTTCTTGACAGCAGTCAGTTACCTTTACTGTAAAGACCATTTTTACCCCGTGGGTGCATTTTTACAGGTTTCATTTGCTTCTTAGTTTTACTTCTGACATTGCTTTTCTCAAATAAGGTAGGTGAGACATTTTTTCCTAGCAAACTGTCTCATTCCCGAAAGAAGAAAAAAAAGGCAAGGTTTATTGTAGTATTTTGAACAGACCCTGAAGCAACAAAAATAGATCTGCATTTGTTACTATGGTTTTTGATTTTTGTAACAGAGCAGGCACAGTGTTCTAAACCCCAAATACTCTTGAGCCTATTCTTGTCTGAATGTTTTATAGCCAATTCCATAGGCATTGTAACTCCTGGGAAGATATAGTCAATAAATCTCATTTAGTTCTAAAAATAAGTTGGTATTACTTAAATTGTATAGATGATTTTAAAAAAATATTTACTTAACAGGTGTATCACAATTATAGGTTATCTCTTACAGTAATCAATAAGTATAGTTTTGGGCATTGAAAATAAGTTGCAGTATATTATATTCATCTATAAGTTTGGGGAAGTGGGGTGGGGAAATTTGGAAGAATGTAACTCATCAGCCTTGTTGAGCTGATTTTTGGTGGTGCATTCTGCTGGTACATAAGCATTACACACCTTAGAGAGTACATTGTTACGTAAAATCACACATGAAACACGCAAAACAATATTAAGAAATGAGATAAAATTCTTAATATTCAAATTGCTGTTTTTCAATATAATTTAAACATATGTTTATATATTTAAATAATATTTCACATATAAAGCACTCAATTGATATAAGTTAATTTATTCTGAAGTAATACGTGCATGTATTTTTAATTTCTTTGTATCAATCTCATCATGTATCACTTAATTGTACATGGCTTGGTAACAGATTGTTGTTGGATGACCCTTTTTTAACCTGCTGTAAAATGTTGCAAATGTAGACCAAAATACATTTTGAATGACCTGTGCAAAAAATAACCTTCTTTTAAAATACATTTGCATATGCATTTTCTGGGTCTTTTTCTGTGTAAAAGTTGTTTTTGTTTGTTGTTGTTTTTCTTTTTAAGAAAATAGACCTTCAAGTAGAATAGTTTAAATAAAGCATTACAAAAATTAATTACTTCTGCTTGAGAGGTACCTCTGGGTGATCTAGTCCATCCCTTTAATAGTTGCTGGATTGATTTCCTTATCTGTAAACTATTTGTATTGAATTGATGCCAGTGTAACTGCAAAATATGTGTAGTAAGTTATTATTATATCTTTCTTTACAGGAACTAAAAGAAAATGGAGAATTGTTACTCATTCTGAAGGGAGAAAATTAATGCAAATGAACACGAATGCTAATGATAGGAGCTGAAATATTGCAAAAAATGATTTGTTTATGGATTGAATTGGAACAATACATGACTTACCCTGGGTAAATGGAGTGGGAGTAAATAAAGCTTTTGCTTGCCCTGTATATTTCACAATTTCATGCTAGATCTGTATGTAAAATTAGTTTTTCACCCATAATGCAAAACTGTATTTATATCTTCAAATTCAATTAAAATGGAATGTTAAAAAGTTTGTTTTTCATTACATTATTGTAAATATCAGTCAGTGTTGATTGTATCTAGACAGTTAACAGTATTGTAGTGTAAGTCCCCATTCCACTTTCCATCTCAGCTAAAACACATCAGCTTTATGGGCTACAGTTCTTATTAGAAACCTAAATAGGACTGCCTCCACAGCACAGAGCATAACCATTTTCAGTATGTCTGTTAATATTTGTTCTTAATGTTCAGCGAGCAGAAAAATTAGTATGGAAGCCTTAATCTGGAATACTACAATTAAATCATTATTAATGAGTTTCAGATGTGTAATACATATTATTTTCTGCGTAGTTTACAGTAATTGTTTGTTGACTTCAGGTGATATTCAGCCTATTTAAATATGACCTTTTTTCCATTGGACATTATTTAAATTAAGATGGAGATGATTCAGTAAATCCTAAAGCTTGGCCATTCTTTTGTACCTTCAGTGTTGCTGCTAGAAGGAAATAAAATAGGTATTTACTTTCTGGGAGATGAATATTCAAAAGTTTGTTTTTTCCCCTGGGGTCCTCTATCTCAGTACTCAGAGGATGTGTTTTTCTTGTTTTATCTTTCAAAGACCCATTGTCTCCATCCTCTACCTCTGTTATTCAATCTGAATGGGGGAAAAAGCTTAGGAAGCTAAAACACATGCCTAGCTTTTCGACAGAACAGCAGTAGTGTGTAGTGTACACAGACAATACAGGAACTGTTACTGTTGGAAATAGAAGCTAATTCTGTCCATTTCTTGAAACTGTATAGTACAGGCAATGCAAGGCTCTCTACATCTGTCTCACTGCTGACTTGGAGGGCATCACTTCTTGAAGTCCAAGAACATTCAGTCTCCATATAACTGTCCTTAACTTCTTTACTTAGACTAACAAGGTCGCTCACCATGGCTGTGCACTTCTCATAATTGTCTAGGTATTGGAATTGAGGCAACTTAAATTCATTTCACATAAGCTACTGAGAAACTGTCAAATGGTAACTAAAAAAAAGTGGTCACAGCTGCATCTTTTTGAGGGTCCTAGTTCTCCAAGTGTTAGAAATTGTTCCGATCGTGCCTATTGGGTGGAGCTCTTTTGTGGATTTAGGCAGAACAGCACTTAATCTTGAGTGGGTTTAGGTGAGAGAAGGGCTGAGTTGCTGAGATGGGAGAGAGTTCTGTATGCGTACAGAAACGGAACTCACCAGGGAGATGTCTAAATTCATTTGGCATTTCTAGGGTTTGGTGGTAGGTAAGTATGTGCTTTTTAGATTTAGTTTCCTAAATTCCATCAAAGTCCATCTTTAGGCACCTGTGCCCTTTATTACATCCATTCCTAAACCATTTGACAACCCCTTTAGGTTTCACTAGCTTTACACAGCTGTATTTTGTATCAGAATTAAAAGAAAGTATATATACACACACAAATCCTTAAACAGATTGCTTTTTAATCTCTTCAAGTATTAATAGTATGGGAATAATTTTGGCAATTTCTTTGAAAATAGTTAACATTTTTATAACTGAAAGATCAATTTTAATCTCATTACAGAAAATCATGTCCATATAATGAAAACAAGTTTAATTAATCTTTCAAAATGATTTGCAATATATTCCAGGCATTTGTCAGTAATAATCATTGCCTACCTCATTAAACAATATTATACCAAAAAGTACACCATCCCAGTGGTCAAATTAGGAATTGGAACCTTTAATTAAACAAAGATTAAATATAAATTGTTGGGTTTTTTTTCTACAATATACATTTCATGAATGCAAACTTTTATTCAAAATTCAGTGCAGTAAAATGTACCTAATCCTTCGCACACTAATCTGCACAAAATACAGTGGGTTGACAACTTTTTTGTGAAGCCTAACTAATCTTGCTTTGAAGTTTTAAATTTTAAGAGTTCATTTGTTCAAAATATACTACCTTGTTTTATTAGTATAAGATGCATCATTGAACTAAAATTATTATTAGTTCATGTTGTGTTTCACTCACCTTATGTATATATTGTTCACTTAATTTCTCATGCACACATTTCAAAGGCTTTTTCCAGCACTGGTGCAAATTAGCTAAGTTCTGCTGTTTTTGATAATCCCTATCTTGTGCTGAATTTTGGTGAGTTCCATAGATTAGACTTCAGTACCTTTTGCAGATGAAATAGATTTTCTGGGAACAAACTTCTCCAAGTAGTTCATAGCAGAAAGTGTAAATGCTGTTTCTAAATATTTAATTTGGATATGGTTGATTTAAATCCTCCAAGTCAAATTGTACCTTATATTGTATAGATGGCTATATTTTGATTTTTATATAGGGTGGCAACATTGACAAGTATGGACTTGTGAAGAAAAGTACTGTATGCTGGTTCCTACAAGTGAGAACTTTTTAACCAGGAGGATTTAGGAAAATGAGGGAAAAATAATGCACCTATTTATATATACTTGGAGTTTAAAATAAAAAGTTATCATATTATCTGTATTACAATATATACTTTTTTGCTGATCCAACTTCTACTGGTAATAAACTGAACCCTATGTGCATCTTATAAATTGCACCTCCGTAGTTTTAAAAGCTTGTATTTATTTCTGATAGTTTAGGGCAGGTGTTTTGTGTGGACAGGAAGAAGAAATTTGACCATCATTACCTTATTACCTAAAAGCTCAGTTTTGCCAATTGAAACGCCATCACATTTAGCTTACTTCAACAATCGTGGCTGCAGAAGATATAGAAGTACCTGTTTCTCATAGTCGGGAGCATCAGCAGGAGCATGGTGTGCATATGAAGTTCTGACATTCATTCCCCAGAAATCTGACAGTGCTATCTGTTGGTGGAGGCTGCCTCTTTGTGGTGGAACACTGTAAACTGTGCAAATGCATTTGGCCTGTAATCCCTGGGTGGGTAAGAGGAGGAAATCCCCATAAATATTTGAAGCAAGCATGAAAGGAGATTTTGTCAAATGGTTAAAATCTTTCTTGAAAAAAGTGATTCCACACGAGGAGAATAGCACAGGTTCTGCCTTTAAATGAAAGCCTGTTGGGAATAAAATGCTCTACCCTGAGAGTGCTTCTACTAAAAGCTTAGACTGTTTATCAAATAAAAAAGGCAATGCTTGTGCATTTACATGTCTTTAAACATAGAAGGCTCTGGTTGCAGTGACCATGTTACAAGAAACAGGTAGGAAATACTGGAAAAAACATGCTAATTAGAACCTACACCTTTGATTATCTAATCTGGACTTTCCTATGTGCCCTTACATACATAAATATTTGTGAAAATTGATAAATTTGCTTTGTCACATGTTTTCAAATTTGCTTAAATTGGCTTCTGAGTGGACAAAGCTGTTTGACCTTTTGTAGACTGTTCCCTTGCTGACAATGAATTCAACCATGATAATTTATGCTGCAGTGTTAAACTGTCTTGCTAAACAAGGTGTAAGGCCTAGTTACCACCGAGGTGATATCTATCTAAAGGAAACTTAACTTCTGTGCAAAGAGCCCAAAGCTTCTGCAGGTGCCATCTTCCTGATGCAGTTTTTAGTGAGGTCTTGACGGTTTATGGCTCTTAAAGATGTTTCACAAGCAGAAGAGTGTTTGACAATGGGTCCAAAACTTTAATGTTAATGATGCGGTACAGTGCAGCATTAAACAGTAGCTGTGTTAATAGGATGGCTAAAGTGAATGCTCTGCTTTACAGTGTCTGTTGTTGCTGCTACTGCTAATCCTGCTGCAGCAGTGATGGATCACAGTACAAGTTTGCTAGTGTACATCAGCTTTTTAAAACTAGATAATGTCAGTGATTTCAAGACATTTTCTGTACACTTGTATAAGAAAAACCTTGGGGCTACTGAAAAGCACTGACATTATCAAAACTCTTTTAATGGCAACTGATGTATAGATTTTAATACAGCTTTGGAATTCGCAGGAAATGTCTGATGTTGCACTGTGCTGGGGATTCTGTGGAAATGCCCTGCTCTGCTTGCAATGCGCACAGAAAAATGGGCACACACCTGAAACCCAAGAACAGAAAATCAGCTACTTGACTTTTGTTTCCAGGTGGCATGGGAATGGGCATCTCATGCTTACAATGACAGTGTTCCCAAAAAACACAAAATAGACATAAATATGCACTGGCAGATTAAAAATAAAAAAAACCACTCACCAATTTCTGTGGAAAAGAATGTCAAAGGTCTTTCAGTGTTATGTACCAAAAAGCAGGACATTACAAATATGATGATGCAAGTCAGCCTTCTTTGTTAAGGATTTATTCTGCATGTAGTAGGTCATTTGCCAGGCACGAAACCTTTCTAATTCTGTCAGTTTTAGTAATAATAATTTAGTAGCAATTATAATACTGGTGTCCTTTGACCTCCATATCTCTGTTTGATACATGGGGACAGATAAACGTTTTAACAAAAATATCTCATCTTTTACAGGGAACTAAAAATTGGTATTTATCAGAAAAGCAAATCTTTCAGTGAAAGTTGACTTGAAGTTCAAAGCCTATCATTTAGCTTGACAAACGAGGTAGTGAAGAGTAAAATTTATGCATGAGAGGCATGATGCCAGCATAGCTGCAGTCTACAGCAAACTGTAAGCCCATCTTCACTTTCCTAAATTCAGCTGGTTCCTTAGAAACAATTATTTTAAATAAACTCTAAAATTTTTAGTTAAATTATATATATCTCTGTAGCTGTCTAGATATAGATACAACTCATCACAACTGTATAAAAAAGCAATACTATAAAAAGTACAGTACATGAAAGTAGCTGACTGGCATCTAGCATTAAATAAAGAGCAGGACATTTAAGCCCATAAATTCAGTGAAATATTAAATATTAATCCTAAATGCATCAATGGTATGTATGAAGGCCTGTAAATGCCAGAGCTATGTTACAATCTTCATTTTATTGAGATTACTTTTACTGTTGCAAACCGTTTCCCTGCTGTCCCCCCTTCCCCTATAGAATTTTTTTGGAATATGGGATGGCTAGCTGAAAAAAATTCACAGTGTGAACATATAATTTCAAGAATATGGGAAAAATTGATCTTAACTGTGCTGTTCAAACATCAGGCCTGTTCATATAAGAAGTTGTATCAGAAATATTTATGGAATAACTCCATGTATGGAAACTTATTCCAGGATAAGAACATCTTTTTGTTTCAATGTAGCTTTAAGCTAAACTGCATTTTTCTGGAATGTCAAGTTATTCCACTTCAAATTCATACTGTGCTTTCTGGAAAATCTTTGGGAAGACAAGCACTTAATTTTCATTCTGACTTTAAACCAATTTATACATTTTCCTTGGTTTAAGTTATTACCTAGATTGAACAGTGAATCCCTTTTGTGAGCCCTCCCTTATGGTGTCTTGGTACTACTCTGAATTATACTTTGCCTGCTGTCCATCCACAGGTGAGGCCATCCTCACAGTAATAAAAGGGATACTCGTATAGTTCTTGGAAATGATTCCAGCTGCTTGTATATGAGTAAGGGGTGTATCCGAGAGGCATTTAAGCTGTCCCTGTTTGAGATTCTTGCAGTGCCTTTTAAAACACTCTAGAAAGTGGTGAGGGGACAGATGTTAACAGCTAATGAAGCACTTAAATTGTGGTGTTTAGCCTTAAATTATCCTGCATGAAACGAGAACAGCTCTGAAGTGCTTCATGTTATGTTTGCAGCCTCCATCAGATAAATAGTAGCCATAGGCTACAGTAGTGTCATGGTGGCTATCTTGACAAACATATATAGTCAGGCATAAGTGTTCTGTCTTTATATATCCTGTTATAACCCAATTGGTTAAGAAAAGAAAAGCAGCTTTTAGTAAATTCAAACAAAAATGTATACAAACAAATAAAAATGTATTTAAAGTATGTTCTCTTTCCTATCTCCACTTTTTTTGCCTGACTTCCTCCTCTTTGACTGTGGTTTTATCTTACCTCCTGCATCTGTGTGCGAGGAGGACAAGAGTTCTTTTTCAAGATTTTTCCTGTGCTTAAAAAAAATAAGATTTTTCCCTACTTCAGAGTCTGTCTATATTACTTGGAAATGTTTAATCTTTTAGATGGAAATAAATTCTTCAGGCAACAAATTTAGGAAACATTCATGAGTGAGCAATTGATAGACTCTAGGCATCTTTTAAAAAAGATCTCTTTTCAACTTCTATATAGTCCCATCCTTTCTCTTACAGAATTCTGCTATCAAACTTGGAAAACACAGTAGATAGAATAATCACGTCTGTCAAGTTTGGTCTAGAGGAATTCTTTATCTTCCTGTCCTCCAGTCAGAAGTCTCAGCAGCACTAACATTAGTCATGCTGATGTAATGTTATGCTCATTTTAGCATAATGAACTTTACAAAGTAGGCAAAGCAGACTCAGTGGTCAGAGACGCTTCCATCCATCTTCCCCTAGCATTTTTCCCTACATTTTTCTAAATACGCAAGAGAATTCTTAAAAATCTGTGTTCCAGCTCTTTCCTGATGACGTCTTTACTCCAAATATTTTCAGATACGTAGCATTTTGAAGAAGAAAATGCTGCCTTTGTTTTGTACCACCTTGAACCTGTTTGAAATCTAGAATGTGACAGCCAAGCTTTCCATATTGTTAGTGATGCAATAGGAATTTACATGTTCCAATGAGCTTTTAAGAAGAATAGTTTAGACTGGCTCTTCAGGTACAAACGAACCTTTACAGGAGCTCATCATCATGGTATTGTACATTAACATACACAGCATAAATTTATACTAATGAGTTTATTATGTTAATATGTCCACATGAATAATTCTATAACTTTATTGATGTTGTTTTCATGAGTAATTGCTGATCAAGAGGGTCACAGCGTCACATGTAGAAAGCAATTACTGCTTTCCTTTCTCTTCACTCCATGCGCTGATGCAACACTACAAGCATTAATAGGAATGGTGGATCTCATGAGGTTCCTTCCAGCCCTAAACTTCTGTGAATCTGTGCAAGATAAGTGTGAGGCAGCTGCATCTTATAATAAGACCAATAAAATAGGAATTCTAGTCTTGCGGACTGTGCTGAGAAGGTGGCTTAGTCTTATTTCCTCTCAGAAGATCATCCCAAAGTCAGTGTTAGTGGGCTAGGGCAGATGTTCAGTTTCTTGAGGGAGAGTCCCTGCTCCCTCAGGAAAAGCCATGAGTGTACAGAAGTTCATAATTTTTTTTCTCAGAGTAAAAGTGGCCACTCTGGAGAAAAATAACTCGGGAGCAACCAGAGTGAAGTTACTCCCTGGAGAACATTTCCTGGGGGGACAGAACATCTGTACAGGCAGCCAGTGTGATTTGCTGCTTCTCCCTCTGCCTCTCCCAGGAGAGGGAGAGTGTGTCAGTCCCAGGCAAGCAGGGAGCAGAGCACCTCTCCTCCTGCTTCCCCTTCCCCCCCCCCAAGTGCTTTGGGCTTTGGAAAAGGCCACTACTGAGCACTAACTGGTGATTATAAAGTGCTGATGTAACTCTTTTCCAGGAAAGACCAACTAGAAAACAGGCAACACTTCACAAGGGGGTCAGATGTTACTGTTGAGATCAACGTCTGTTGGTTGTGTTGTATTTTGTGCTGCTTTAAAACTTTTTCTTCAAGCTCATGGCATGTTTCTGAACTATAACTAGTTGTGGTTTAATGCATTGGTGATGCGTAGGGAGTGCATGTGCACCCCCTGAGTGTGGCAGTGCACTTCCTGCAAAAAGGTGCTGTTGACACTGCTGGCAGTCGCTGCTCACCACCTTTTCCCCACCACCCCCTCCCCCCGCTGTCTGCGAACAGTCCCCAGTCGCTGCTGGCCATTGCCGGCGGCGTCTGCAGGTGTTCGCCAACTGCTGGTTGGCGCTCACCACCCCCCACTGCTGACAGTGCTGTGACTAGCTGCAGGAGCTCACCATTTGCCGCCATCATGCTGGTGCCACTGCCACCTGCCAGAGCTTGCCATGCCCCCCCACCCCTGGGGGCATGCAGCGTTTGTGGTTTAATGCTTTCCATTTCCAGTTTAGAATTAGCCAACTTTAAGCAGTATTTCGGACTTGCTCCCAAACCCTATGGTGCTCTTTATTTCAGTAAGCAGTTAATTACATTGTTCCAGAAAGTAATACAACAGGTGTGCAGTGCCAGTAGGTGCAGATGTATGACAATAGAATCAACTTAGCAGTTGATTCCTGGTACTTTTTTTCCCCAAATGTGAGAATAATTTCAGGATGAATATTTGAGATGAATTGGCATAATATTGTAATGATAAGGATCTGTTGCAGATTATTCCGCATTGTGGTTTAATTTCACTGTTCCAGAGGTTATATTTATTCCAAAATATGAATATTGGGGTCTGTTCTCCAGTACTCATTCAACCTTAATGAAGCTGTGTTGTATACATCAAGCACTAAGATCTCCTGAAAGACTTGGGTATATACATAAATAAAATTCCACCTATGTTTTCTATACCCCATTTGCAATTCCTGGCTATTCGATAATCATTGGACAGTACTGCAAGATTTCCACAAGAGGGTACTGCATACTAGTTACTGTAGTCAAGCAAAAAATCAAATGCTTATATGTAATAATGCTTTTCAACACTGGGTGTCAGTACAGGACCATTTATTGACCAAAACACTATATTATAAGCAGAGATCTGATCTCTGCTCTAGACAAGAGAAGTCTGATCTCCGCAGTTAAGAACAACCATTTTTTTGTCAAGATAACAGGTAATAAAAGAACAGATTATTTTTTGTGTACCATATTTTCTCATATATATAACACCCCCACTATAACACAAATATAAAATATTTTAGGAAGGCCCCGAGAGAGAGAGAGAGAGAGATTACCGTAGGATATAGATAAGGACCTGAGGTGTGGAGTCTGGGACTGAGGGTCTACTCAGTACTAGGGGCTGGAGACAGAGCCAGAGCCATGCAGTGGGGCCTGATTTGGCCACTGCCAGCAAGGGGGGTGGAACTGCTCAGCAAGGCCCTCACGGCTACGGCAATTCATGCTGCCACCACTCCACCCTCCTCCCTCTCTGCATTTCTGGACCTACAGGGAATCCTTTTTGTTGCATATAATTCATACCCTGATTTCCCTTGCTGGTTGTGGTTGGGGGGCGGGAAGTGCAGGTTGTATGCAAGAAAATATGGTAGTATAGATACATCCTTATTACCTGATGAAAATGCATATATTTTCCCCCCATGCTGTGCTGTCCTGACCAGCTGATTCTCTCATAGGAATTTCTGTCTGTCTCTTGTACTTGCAGCGTTAGCTCAGTTGTTGGTAGAAAGGTGAGAAGTATGTGACCTACTGATCTGCATGTGCAAAAATGTCACTGATCATTGAGCAGGAAAGGATTTCATATCTTGTACCATGACTGTATTGTGCAAGCTTTCTTTTCCAGACAAAGAAAAGCCTATTTTTCTGTTATTACCTAGGCATGTATGGGACCAGAGGTGGGTCCTGTCCTAAGCATATGCTGGAGATGACTTGGAGCTCCTTATCATTGTCTTGTGCCAGGGACACAAATTTAAGAGGTGGGGTGGCAAGTGCAGCAGAACAGCAGTCCATTTGACAGCACCAGAACTTCTGGTAGATGGCCACTGCCTCTCAAGAGAAGCATCTTCCTTTTCTTATTAAAAAAAAAAAATAGAGGTAGCAACAGTGTGGTCCACAGGTACCAAATGAAGCAGATTTTCTCCATCTACTTGTGTTCGTGGGGGGACTACTCCCAGTGAACTACTGCAATGAGTCTGTTGCTGTGTTGGCATGGTTCCCAGGGCATCAGATTTGAGAGTTAACACCACATTTAGATTAACAGATTTTTTTTACACTTTTGGGTTCTTTTCAGGTCTTTCTCAGATATGTTGCTACACTGGTTGTGGTCAAGTTGTTTTCAAGCTTTTTTTGCAACCACAGAGGCTGGATAGGGAACTTTCTCCTCCTCCTTTTCAGATGCCATCATTTGATTGCTGGAGCCAGCCCCTAGAGTATTTATGCTTTAATTTAGCTCTGGGAAACTAGAGTTCCTTTGAAACTAAAGAATGCAAACTTTGTCTTTAAACTTCGTAATCCCAATTGTCCTACTTTAAAAGGATCTGTCCTTCAAAAAAAACCAAACCCATTGGTTATAAGTTAATCACTTGCTCTTAAACTTGATTTTTATTCTTGTCATTTTTTATAGCTTTTTTTGAGAACTTCAGCTTTATCAAAAACTTTTGATAGAATAGTCCTGCAGGGGACTTTCGCCATTGGTTTTGACGAAACTCCTAGATGCTCAGCTCTTTTGAAAAAGAGGCATTTAAAAGTAATGGGTGGATTGCTGCATCTGTTTTGGGGGAGAGATTTTATGGAAAAAGAACCAGAGGCAGAAGTGGGTAGAGGAAATGAGTTGGACATTTGCAGGATTAAGGGTTATGGATTCATGTTTTTTTCTTTTTTGTAGGAGTCCACTAAAAGCTAAGGTAGAATCAGTGGTGGCAGACACTGAGGCTATTGGAACGGAGGGTTTGTAGAGCCAGTTAGCACAGAGCGGTTCATATACTCACAAAGCTTTTGTTGAGAAATAACCATATAGGAACCAGGCAGATGTTTGTGTTATTACTGGTAAATATTGGTAGCTGGGCAACCAAGATTCAGAGTTTTTATATGCTTTTGCTGGGATTTCCAAAAAGGGCTTATGGGAGTCGGCCTGATTTAATTTGAAATGTAACATGGTGTGGGTGCTTAACAACGTTAGGGTCCTTCCAGCATTCTGGGGTGTGTGTGTGTGTGTGTGTGTGTGTAGAACCTGTCATAGGAATTATGCTAATCAGACACCCACAGCCAATCAGAATGCATACCTGAGAAGAAATGTTCATATGCATGTGTACATCTCTGTACTCTGAAAGTAAAACTACAGTTGTCAACAGGTGCTTGTTGCAGTTTGGAAATTTTGACCAGTCTACTTGAAGCTTTGGTAGTACAAATGAAAGGCCATCATTAAACTTTGGGTGGTATTTTCAGAAGCCGTCAATGTTGGCTGCTTTCATTTAAGTCAACTTCCATGACTTTGCTCCACTGAAATAGGTTTGCTGTGTTGTTATAGCTACAGAGTCTAGGAAGGTGAGGGTTTTTTTGTGATGTATTTTATAGGACCAACTAGGGGAGAAGTTGGACAACCTTTCAAGCCCAAAGTGCCCTCCTTCAGGTCTGGAAAAGAAGTAGTGATAGACTAAGATAAATGCCAGAAAAAAAAAATGGCTTGTGTTTAATTACATGTAAAAGAAGAAAATCACTTACATTCTTCTAAGACGGTTGTGAAACAGGAGTAAAGCGAGAAGATCAGAGTAATAAAGATCCTTTTCTCTTTTTTGAATGGTCTTGTTCTTCTACAAAAATAGTTTCTACCACTGCAGCTCACTTGTTTTGAAGCTTCTTCTAATTGCCTCTCTTTGCTCTTGCTTCACAGGCATCCTCCAGTGAAGTCACCTCAACCCTTCCAACTGCTCAGCCCTTTGAAATCAACCTAGTGAGTGAGTTTAACTTTCAGAACTTTTTTTGAAACTATTGCCTCAGTGCTCAAGACTCTAAAAGAACTTGGCTTTTGTGGTATATTTTACGCTCTTAAATATTGCCAGTGGTTTTCTGAAGGGGCACACTAGCAGAATTTTTAAGGTGCCAACTAGAGGTACAAGTGTGAGATGTGCATCAAAGGCCAGCCCCAGTCAACCCAGCTGTAAATTAATACCTTGTTATTCAGGCTGGGTTATTCACAGGTGACTAGACGTAATGCCAGCCACATCACTCCCTTGCATACTCTTGCTGCAGAAAAACAGTATGCCTTATCCCACTTTGCCCAATGGCCTGCTTAGGGTCAAGTGGAATTTTGACTTTGATATTATTTGAATTCAGTCCTGTAATTATGAGCATGGCAGTTCTGCTTTTGGACTGCACTAAGTTGCATTTCAGTGCCAACCTGGAAATACCTGAGCCAGGGAACTTCTATTTACAGTGTAGAGCAGGGGTCAACAATCTGTGGTCTGGATCTGGCCCATAAAGGTCCAGTTTCTGTCTAAGGGTGCACAGAGGTTCAGGCAAAACAAAGCTGTGCCTTGCTGCTCGTTTCATCTACAGTATTCCCCTACCCAGCCTTTCCTGCTGCTCTCTTGTGCCTGTACTTACCCTCACTAGTGTGGCTGGGTATCTGCAGAAAGGGTAAGTGCAGGCATCTTTGGAACTTGGGAGATTTGCAGTCTGGGACAAGGGGCTAAATACTGTCAAGTCAGCAGGGGTGGGTGGGATACACTGGGGTAATTGAAGAAATTGGCTGAAGTCATTTCAGAGCTATGGACTATCCTTTTTGAGAACCATGGAGATTAGTTGATGTTCCAGATGTGGGAAAAATGCCCATCTTTAAGAAAAGGGGAAAGGAGGATCTTGGGAACTACAGACCAGTCAATCTAACCTTAATACTTGGAAAGATCATAGCTCCTTAAGGAATCTATTTTGAAGCCCCTAAAGGAAACTAGGAAAAGCCAGTATGTATTCATGAAGAGCAAATCATGCTTGGCTAACTCAATTTCCTTCTGTGATAAGGTAATGCTTGGAGAGCTGTGGACTTGCTATATCTTGACATCAGAAAAGCTTTTGATGCTATCTTCCATGACATTTTCATTGACAAGCTAAGGAAGTATAGACTAGGTGAATACATAACTAGCTGAATCATTGTGCTCAACGAGTAGTCATTAATGGTTCAATGTCTAGTTGGGAGGAAGTATCAAGAGGGGTTCCCTAGGGTCCATCCTGGGTCTAGCATTGTTTAACGTCTTTAGTAATCAGTTAGAGGATGTATGTGTGCATGCATACGAAGAGCACACAATTGGTTCATATTCAGCTGAATATAAGCTGCTCCACTGTAACCCCGGGTCCTTCTCTGCATTACTCAAGCCTAGCCAATCGTTTACCAGTCTATATTTGTATATGTAATTATTCTGTCCCAAGTGCAGGACTTTTCACTTGTCCTGTTCCATTTCATCTGATTGATTTCATACTTTCTCTAGTGTGCACACACATGCACACAATGCCCACAGCAACATTGGGTTGGATTGATAGGATTGTCTTTTGCAAATCAAGGCAAGTGCTGCTTCTGCTCCATTTGGGACTGGTGAGGCCTCACCTGGAGTATTGTGTCCAGTTTTGGGCCCTACACTTAAAAAAAAGAGGTGGACACAGTGAAGAGTGACAGAAATGATTAGAGGCCTATGAAGCAAGAGTTATGAAGAGAAGCTGAAAGAACTAGGATAATTATAAAGAGGATGGGGATGGTCTTTTCTCTTTGGCTGTAGGAAAATGCAGCAGAGGACATTTAGGTTGGAGATTAGGAAGAACATTCTGACTATGAGGGTGGTCCAGCATTGAATCAGGCTATCAAGAGAAGTTGTGGAATCTCCATCCCTGGAAATTTTCAAGAACAGATTAGACAGCTGACTGGGATGGTTTAGTTGGGGATCATTCTGCCTTGAGCAGGGGCTGGACTAGATGATCTGATGAGGTCTCTTCCAGCCCTACTTCCCTATGATCCAGAGCTTGCAGCAGCAAAGGGTTGCTGACCCCTGGTATTGGGCCTAGTATACTTTATGCTGCCTCTTAACAAGGTCTGGAGGCAATGTAAATGTGCCTTAAGTACTCATTAAATCCCTTCAAAATTAGTCTCTTCAGGATTACTAGCATAATATGAAAACAAAGATTGGAGAAACAGGCTTATGTTAACTTGAAAATGAAACACCATGTTTTTTTACATAAAACATGCCCCTTAATAAGGTATGTACCTTGTTTTTGAAAGATTGAAGAAAATGAAGAAGAAAGATCTCTCCCTTTTTTCCTTTGCTTTTGTAGCAGAAGCCTCTGCCAGGGCTGGAAGAGGAAGATGAGGGGCAAGAAGATGTCCACAGCCAGCACCTATAAATACCCACATACAGTACTTCAGAATCATTTTTGCTTTTCCTTGGCAGAAGCAGAAAGTGCTGTTTTATTTTCTTGCTTATAATGCACCCCCTCCCCCCACTTCCAGGCCATGAATGTTGGAAAAGAGGTGAATGTTTTATATGAGAAAATATGGTATATTACTTGCATTTCAGACTATATACAAAGATGACTGGTGTGATATATTCCCTGACCTTGTTTACTCTGAATGGCAGACTGCATATGTGTGTGTGTGTGTGTGTATATGCATGCTTACTCCTCTCCTTTTCCCAAAGAAGAAAAAAAGTATCTGTGGTATTATTTCTACCTCTTTGTAACAGATGCTGTGATCTTCCATTTCTGTGGAGCCACGTGTAGGAGACTGGGTAAGTGTGAAGCTTTTAAGACATAATCTGAAATGTAGTACTGTTAGTAAGCATTGGCTTTCCCTATGAGCCCAAAAGCTTGGTATGGTATCCTTCCAGACTGCTTTTTCCTACCCTATTTCACCTCTAAAACCAAAAAACAGTTATAAGTAGGAGTGGTTTTATATTATGGAATGTGATACACTTCCAACTTCCTATGGGAGCTAACAGTAGGCTTTTTAAATTAAAAAGTCCTTCAAGATTATTTTTTGCCTGGTTTCATTGCTTTAGATTTTGGACACTGAGCCACAAGGGGGTTGGTTAGAAAGCTGTCAAATAAGAACATATGGGCAGAAAATCTGATTATTTTACTAGAACTGCTCTGAAATATACCTGGCAATTTTAGCAATTATTCTAAACTTATTTGTTTTACCATATTGTTTTTTCCTAGATTAAGTGAGTAACACTAGATGGAGCCTTCCTTGTCTTAAAAGCATATGAGACTGGTGCTTTGAACTTGTGGAGTGAATATTTCTTTTTTTAACATGGTTAAAAACACAGTTGTTTCTGATGTAAAGGATCATATCTAATGAGAGAAATATAATGATATAACCACATCTTCCTTAAACAATTACATAAGGGAAAAATTACATTGCCTGATTTCCTTGTACATAAGAACAATCTACAATTCTAAATGCAAAGACCTTAAAAGGTTATTACTCTGCTGGAGTTAGATACAGCAAAATATTATTAAAAATACTCCTTGAGATGCTCATCTGCATGTTCCAGACTTGTCTGGTTTTGTGTAACTGAAATGCAATTTTAGAAAGAGAATGAATTTGTTTGTAAGCCTTTATATAAGACAGTCATTTTACTAGCTGCTTTGAAAGCATTCCAGCTTATTCAAAACAGAGCCCCAAAGTGCTTATACTTTAGAAAATATGTTGTGGTTTTAAATCCTCTTGAAAACTGTTGCATATATAGGTAGATGGAATTGTTTCTGCATCACAAATATTTGTGGGTTAGCTCTGAATCTAGGAGCAATGAAAAGGAAATATAATGTTGTAGCAGTAGTTGTAGCATTTGCAAATATCCGTCTTAGAAAAATCTATTCAGCATATGCTAATTAATCTGGCATTTATTTTGATCAGCTGATTGTTATTCTGTTATGTCTCATTTGGTGATTCTGAAGTATAAAGACAACACAGGTCTTTCCAGATAGTATGATGCCATGTTCTTAGTATTGAAAACCAATCTCTAAAATATTATAGTTAAGAATTGGACTTGCTTTAACATTCCTTGCACATAGCTTCTATTCAAGAGCAGTAGATTACAAGTTCATTATGAAATGAACCATTTCTCCTTAATTATTTTTAATGAATTCTGAATTACATATAAACAATGGATGCATACTACAGATATACGTAATGATGACAGGATCCTAGCAAAAAACAAATATAAAATAAATCTCAGGCAAATTACATAAATTTTGTCTAAGAAACCTCCCTCTTGATTAGCATTCTTGACACACACTGCCTCAGAGATACATGAACAATATTATTCAAAATAGGAAGTCTCTGAATCAAGTGGATTGTAAACAAATGACAAACCTTCCTATGAAATTTTGACAAACTAGAGCCTTGATTCTTCAGAGGTTTATGCATGTGCTTAATTTCATGCCCTATCAATTGTCTCAGTGATTTTTAGTGCCTGAACTTAATTCCTGTTGTAACTTTAAGCAATTGTTGTAGGGTTGGGGTCTAATTGAATAATATTTATTTTTCCTGTTTTCCCATTATAAACAAAAGCAACCTATATAATATTTTACAAAATCTAGATTAAAAGAATATTTGCACTAAAAAATAGGTCATATCAGAAATAAGGGTGTCTGTGAAACCTTAATTAACTCCTTTTTGTGTGTGCGTTTTTAAAATGCTGTGTTGAACAGGGGATTGGATTTATGACATTCCAGCCTTATTTCCTATGATTATCCTTAATTACTTGACCACATATTTTTTTCCAAGTCTGATATTTAAAAAAAGGCTAGGAGTGCAAAAGGGGAGGCACTATCCCACTGCTCAGTTCTGGTCCTCAGCACTACTGTAGCCTGAGGCAGTCAGGATGGGTGTTTCAAGGAAAGTTCTGCTCAACCACTGCAGTTATGGTCTAGAACACAGAATATTAGCATTATTCAAATGCTAAGAAGTCTCAACTGAGCATGTGCAAAATGAGATTTTTTTTTCAAAGGCTTTTCCAAATCTGGGCAGTTTTTCACAGAAGCGGTACAAGGCATGTCACTGGTTCCTTTAAAGAATCAGGGAATAAGACTTTTTCAAGGAAGCTGCTGTAAGGAATTTATCTTGGGCAAAACAACCTATGTTGACCTTAACCTCATTCTGGAAAATGGATGAAGCATTTTAGCAGAACTTTTCCCAGAATAAACAAACAAACAAACAAAAAGTCAGAGTAAAGCAGACCTCTAACATTGGAAGTCTGAGCTCAAAGAGGTCAAGTTTGGCAAAGATCTAAGCAACTGAAAATGGCATCTTAAAATGGGAATATTAGATGACCTTTATTACAGGCAGTGCTATTAGCTCCAGCTATAATAAAATGACAAAGTGCACATAAGTTATATATAAAGGCTATTAAGGTGTTATATAAATTATATCATAGCAGCCAGTGTTGCAGTCTCTAGCAATCTCTTTCTAATTCCCGTTTGCTTTCCCTTCCTGAACAGTCACATTCTAAATGACTGATTGAGAAGTCTCTTTAAGGACCTATGTTTTAAATTTCTCCTATCAGGTTCTAAATAATGCAATTTTAAAAAATCTGTTTTGACTTGTTGTGGAGCCACTTGGTTTGCCCAAGAGAAAACTGAAAATACGCAGAGCTACATCTGGGTGAGTGCATTGCCTTTAACTACAACAAACTGGTGATATCCAGCGTGGGTGACTAGTGCTGCCTGAGTCAGGTGGGGTACATGCCGCCCCTGCAACCAGTCCCACCAACTGGGGGGGCCCCCCCTGCAGCTGATCCCACCGACTGGGGGGGTGTCCCTCACGGCCAATCCTGTGACAGTCGATTGCTCCAGCCACTTCCGGGAGTTGCTACAGCTGTTTCTGGGAGCGGCTACAGTTATTGGTTAAGTGCTTGCACCGGTGCCCTTCCTGCTCCTGCCTGCCCCCTCTTCCCCTCCCCACCCCAAGCACCCCCTACGCATCACCACTGGTATCCAGGATGCAGTCATTTCTGGGAGGAACAACTTCACAATCTGAATAACTTCAGTCAAAGATGATGTTTGAGTAATTCTGTTAAATTACTACTGAGAACATAACTTTATAGTGATAAAATGTACAAAGAATCAGGAACATGGAGCACCTTTTATAAACTCAGATTATAAGGGATGGAACAGGTGACCAAAGTTATAAAGAATAGATCAGTTTAAATAGTCAGCTATTCCAACATCAACCAGCCTATATCTTTACTTTGCTTCTTAACATGAATAATGTAGGAAAGAAATGAGTAGTGCAGACAGGCATCTTGGGGTGTTGCATTGAACCTCTTCCTCATTTCTTATTCCATCTGGCCACAACAGCTTTACTTTCTTTTGCTAAACAGTTGTGCACTGAGGAATTTGGATTAGCAATTGCGTGTCTATATGACCTTTCATAGTCATTTAATCTTTCTTTGTTGCTATTTTCCTATCTATAGATAAAGCTAATAATACTTCTCTTGAGATTTATTAAATATTTGTATTAAATATTAAATTGATTTGAGATGTATTAAATATTTGTAAAGACCCCAAGATCTTTGTTTGAAAGATTCCATGTAAATAAAACTATTATTAAACTTAGGGTTCAATAAAGTAAAAATAGAAGTATAGTCAGACAACAATAATTGGATAAGTTTATCATTTTTAAAATTAATAATGGAATATTTCTTGGTTCAAGTTGAATATCCCACAAAGATGTGTTCATTTATCAGAAAAAAATCCATAAAGATATTAGTACAATCACTGCATTTATGTTACTAACAAAATACTGCTCATCCCCAGGTTCTCAAAATACATTATAAAGGGTCAGCTGGCAGGGCAGTATTGCTGAACAAATTTCAATTCATGTATAGGTTGATGTATTTCAATATGCAGATCAGAGCTTGTTAGTATAAGTAATAGCATTAGAACCCATCAAAGTAGCAATCAGTCAAAAATGATTAACAGGTAAGGAAAGCTAAAGTGCCTAAACCCTACAACTCCTCTTGCTCACTATTCCAGTACTGAGGGGCTCATTTAAGAAAATCCACTTTTACGTTTATATTGGAACCACAGTTACCCATGATTCTAGTAACAGTGATTTGAAACTTTATTACCATATTTACTTAAATCTCGGATGACCCTGAATTTAAGATGACCCCCCCGCTCCAATAATTACATTTTATAGATGGAAAATTGTTATAATTTTCCATCTATAGAATCTAATTATTGGGGAGGGGTCATTTTTAATTCATCCCCCCACTATTTCAGGGTGCTAGGCAGTAGGGGGCAGATGATATGGGGAGATCAAACAGTTTGTCCCCTGTTTATGTCTGTCCCCCTTCCTGCTCCCCCACAGACTCAAGCCTCCCTTCCTTCTCTACTCCCCTCTTTTCTCTCCTCTCCGGCCTCTGCTTCCTTCTTCCCTCTACCCTTACCTTTGCTCCAAGCCAGCAGGCTCCATCCATGCTGCAGGCTGGAGCACTAGGTACAGCTTCAGTCCTGGCCCCAAAGCAGCTGTGGGTTGTGCACTACTGCTTTGGAGCCACGCAGAAACCATGCTCAGTGCCTCAGGCTGCAGTAGGGATGGAGCCTGCTGGCATGGACCAAAGTTAAGGGAGGAGGGAGAGGGGCAGGAGGGGGTGAAGAGGCTGCATGTGGG